CCATGTCTTCTTCGGTGAAGAATGCAACGAATGCAGTGCCCTTTGGCCGTTCAGTGTCGCGGTCTACGACAACACGCGCATACCGTATGCCTCCAAACTGTTGAAAGTGTTCCTTCAGACGCTCATCGTCTACAGTGAATGGGACGTTGCGTACAAACACTGTGTAGTCCTCGCGCTTTGGTCGATGGTCTTGTTGATCTAGTTCAACGCCACCTTCCTCGTCGTCCTCGGACATGTCTTCGTCGTCGATGTCGCTGTTGTCCGACTCGTCTTCGTCTTCGCTGTTCATTTCCTCGTCATCCTCGTCGTCGTCCTCATCAGAACTGACTACGGAGCTTTCGGCATCGTCCATGTCTTCGTTTCCATCTGCTTTGGCGTCGCCTTCTTGTTCGGTTTGTTGCAGATTCAGCCAAGTGTCACGATCGACAGCCCAATCAACAGCGATGGGCCTGCCACCAATCTCTTTGCCATTCAGCTCCTGCATTGCCTTCTCTGCATTCTTCTTTCCTCGTAGAGACACGAAGCCAAATCCTCTCAATTCGCCATTAGGCTTCTTTGGTAGATTTGCAAAGTTGACCTTACCGTAGCATCTGAAGAGCTTCTCCAAATCCTCCGGTGTCTTAATGGTCCAGGGGAGGTTTCGTACGATGATTTTGGGTACTTGCGCTTCTTTGACCTGTTGCTCGCGCTCTGCCTTGATCCTGTCGGCGGCCCTGGGTCGCTTCTCCTCGCCCTCACGCTGCCTAGCCTCGGCGAAATCGACCTTAATCTTCTTGCCTTTGATCTGTGTGTTGTTCAATTCTTCCTTTGCTCTTTGCGCATCCTCAACATCGGCGAATGTGACGAAGCCATAGCCCTTAGACTCGCGCGTCTCTTTGTCCAACACAACAAGCGCATTCTTGATCGGGTAGGACTCGGAAAAGTACTCGGTCAGGTCTTCGCTGGTGACGTCGGGTGCGAGGCTGCGAACGAAGAGTTGTCTGCGCGCGACTTCCTTCGCCGTCCCTACAGCTGCGGCATTACTGGAGGGTTGGTCGGCGTCAGCGGTGGCGGTGATGGCCTCTGCGCCATCGAGCGAGAGGCGCTGACGTTTTCTACGGGGAGCCATTGTAAAAGAGTGTGAATTTGAAATCTTCTTTGCTTGTACTTTTCATTTGCATGTCCCAAGAAAAAAAAGTTCCAGTATCGCGACGCACGGACCTCGATCTGCCATCTTGGCGAACGTAAAGTGGAGCTAGACCCTTTGTGCTGAAGACCGACTACATCTTCACGTGCCACCCACAAGACACCCATTTCTTCCAATTCTCGTCCGCCCCGTCTGACTTTGCTATCCTTCACCGATCAGATTTCAGATTTCCATCATGATCACGATGTGTCCTCGGACTGCGCCCCCTTGGCGGAATCCTGCATGCCCCCCCACTCAATCTACAAAGCCTGTAGCACTGTGTATTGATGTGTGCGTCCTAAAACGACATAGCCGCCTAAACCATCGCGATCTTGTAGTGTCATGCGCTTTCTCAAACGCCCATACCGGTTCTTGGCCACGGCAATTGACTACTCGAGGCGCACAATGACGTATTACGTCTTTGACTACAATCGGACGCAGCGGGAGACGAAGATAGAGAAGTAACGGCGCAACGTCTTGTAGCACCGAGACGATTGCGCAATCTGTTGCTTTGCCTTTTAAGCTGAAATCGCCGGCTATGTTCCTAGCGATCGACCGTAATCGCAATCTGAGACACTCCAAAAACTCACATTTTGGTCATCTTTCGTAAGGTGCTCCATCGATATTGCACATCTTCGATCCGATCTCTTGTCAGCCTCCTCGGAATGAAGCCCACCATGTCTCACGTCTATTGGCAGCAGACAGAACCGTTGAGCCCTTTGATCTACCGAATGTGCACCGGTACCCGTTAGCGTCTCGTACCCAACGTCTGCACAAACGCCATGGGTGTAACTCCTTCGACAATTAGACACTCAAACTATGTTGCTCGCGCAATCAGTGCTGCTTATCTGCATCGCTTAGCTACTACTACACTCACCCTAGCCCTCTGGCGGCACAACAGAGCCTGGTACCGTCCTTTGTAAGCCCACAATATACATACAAGAGGACAGCCGCCAAAAATATGACAGTCCTCCAGACTGCCATCTTTGAAGTGCCTGAACTGATACCCGACCATGTCACAAAGAAGCCATGAAGCCAGTGAAAGCGAGGCGCTTTTGAATCCTCGTAGTGCCATTGCTTCCTGTTCCTCTTTCTCCTCCTACTCCACACTCGATAGCACAGATTCTCCTAGAACGCCACAAATAGAAAGAGGGCTTTCAGACGCAGACAGAGAAAAGCTAGATGTTCTCAGTCGACTCAGTGATCTGGAAAGACCGAGTTTATCGGCTGAAGAGCTGGGAGACACTGGCATCTCACTCTATGAGAAGAAGTGTGAACTGATCAATAATGAGATTGATCTCATGGGTATGGGGCGTTACCAGTGGTCAATATGGGCCTTGTGTGGCTTCGGGTACATGATTGATCTCATGTGGGCACAAGCGTTTGGTCTAGTTTTGTCTCCAATACAGCAGGAGTTTGGGTTTGGAGCTGACGAGACCGGCAAACTCTCCACCGCCTTCTCGGTCGGACTTACATCTGGCGCCTTCGTCTGGGGTGTTCTAGTAGATGTGATTGGGCGAAAGTCTTCCTTCAACCTGACCGTCTTCGTTGCTTGTGTTTTTGGGACTTGCATCGGCACCTCTAGCACCTACAATACCATCTTGGTCCTTACGGCTCTTACTGGGTTCGGCATCGGAGGCAACATTCCCATCGATACGACTATTACACTAGAAGCTACTCCACAAAACAAGCGTTACCTCCTTCCTCTTCTCTCCATCTTCCAGCCGATCGGCGTCGTTATATGTTCAGTCTTAGCCTACGGCTACATTCCAAACTGGTCCTGCAGTCCAAACTTCTCAGAAGGAGACCGTGCACTCCCTGCTTGTACGGCTGTCGGCCTGGGCGAAGCGTGTTGCTCGAAAGAGGATAACATGGGATGGCGATATCTTCTGTTCACACTAGGCGGAGTTACCATTTTGGTATTCATTCTACGGTCGGTTCTCTTCAACTTCCAAGAGTCGTCCAAGTTCCTCATCTACCGCGGCAAAGACGCCGAGGCCGTCAGTGTGCTACACAAGATAGCTGAGTACAACAAGACTAAATGCACTCTAACCCTGGGAGACCTTGAGGTCCTGGAGCATGCGTTTGAATCCAACCGAGGCACTGCACCTATACTTGGAGGTGGCGTTAAGCAACTCAAATCTACGTGGACTGAGAAGCTCAAGTTGGAAGGCGATCGCTTCAAGATTCTCTTCTCAAGCGCCCAGATGACAAGATTGACCTTGCTCGTTTGGCTGGCATATATCTGCGATTACTGGGGTTTTACTGTTGCCGGTACGTAACTACAACGTAATCATCTGCACTCGGGCTTACGTCGCTAACTTCGCTTTAGGGACCTACCTCCCGCAAATTCTGGCCGTGAAGAATGGCGCTCTGGACCTGTCCCTTCGTTATACGTACCGATCATACATATTTATCTACCTTCCCGGAGTATTTGGAGTAGTACTGGGGACGCTGTCTTACCGCGCATCACGAGTAGGCCGCAAGTGGACAATGGTAGTCTCCTCAGCCCTCATGGGCATCTCCATCTTTCTCTTCAGCAGCGTCAACTCGGCGGCGTCTAACATAGGCTTCAACATCATGGAATACTTCTTCCAGTCCATGTTCAACTCGGTGCTGTACGGATGGACGCCGGAAGCTTTCCCAGCGCCCATCCGGGGCACTGCATGTGGGATTGCAAGCTTCTGGGGCAGGCTTTTCGGTATCGTTAGTCCGCTGATTGCACAGCACTTGTATGCTGGTGGAGGAGCAGGGAGAGATATCAACAGTGTGCTGTATCTGGCTGGAGGTGTGACATTGGGCTGTGTCATTACCACCGCACTGCTGCCCAGTAATCTTGTAGGCAGGCAAAGCTTGTAGAGACAAGGCATGGAAGTGGGATGGGAAGCTTACAAGGGCAATGTGGCAACGTTTTATAGATGCTGTAGCCGAGTCAGATTGCTAGAGATACCCACTACGCCATAGAGCAGATGTTTTTAGTCGAGCACAAAGACGGAGCTTGAATAGTACCATGAGAAGTTTACAAGCCAATGATGAAATCATCGAGATGGGGTTTGCCAGCTTGTTATGCATGTAAAACATTACTCTTCTTCGAAAAGAACGCTAACGAATCGCTGAATACACCGCAACGCCGTCCAAATGCATGCAGTTTGGTTGTATCTACCGTTACAACTTTGTCTTGCCCGGTGCCTCTGCTCTCCTCTGCTCCATGATGTACCCGCTTGCCACCGGATTAAAACCTTGACACGTAACTTGTGGTAAAGGAAACGGGGGCTTTTTCAAATTCTGAGTGAAGAAGACTGGGTGCCGTACGGCGCTGTCGTATACGGGCGTGAAGAAAGACGCGGGTGTTTGCGGAGGGCCAAAAGGCGGCATGGCTTCGACTTGCGAACGCGGCTTTGGAGGGTTCAGAGGGAGGCTTGAGGGCTGCGATATATTCTGCTGTGAGGAATGGGTAGCACGTCGTTGTTGTTGCGCGTACGCTGACTGTGGGGACTGCTGTGGAGGCTATGTCGTGTGAGTCGGTAGAAGGAAGAATAACTCGTCCTGACTTAGACAGTAACTTACCTTAGGTCTAGACGGCTGCAAGCTAGGAAGCATCGTGACAGGCTCGTATACACGCAACACCCAGCAAGACGACAGCAGTGGACGGGTTCTACAGCGGAACGTGACCGCAACTTACTTACCGCGTACCTCGGCATAAGATTGTCGCGAACGTCATCCCAACCTCAGTCGCGGAATCGGACGCTTCTCCGCTACTACCACACGCCGAACATCGCTCCATGCTAAAACATCAAAACATGATGAGTCCACCATCACCAACACTGATTTCGACATGCAAAGGACGCCAGCACTATTCCTAGCGGCAACAAGATGTGCGAGATTCCACACCTCACGGAGATTGTACTCGGACCCGCCCATTGTGAAGATTAACAACGGCACTTTTTACCGTCAACATCCTTCTTCGAAACTCAATCATGGAAATTCAAATGCGAATCCACCTCTATTCCCCGGTCTAACGATCTCCCTGCCTTCCTCCTCAACACCAAACCAGCGCTGGGCCATCCTAAGCCCATCATCAGATATCCGAACAGCATTCTTGCAAATCCTCCGCGGCCAATTCCTCTGTTTCCCACCTACAGCACGCTCATTTCCTTACCTTCTCGGCCCAGCTATCACAGAAGATAAACCACATCTCCGCTTTCCCGAGCGCGCAATCGAATATGTCGGCTTCGATGTTGAGCGCAAAGCTTTTGGCGGCGCGTACCTATCCGCACGGTACGAGTCGCTAAAGGAAGAAACGGATTTCACCGTCCAGCGCTATTTGACGGGTATTGTGACGATGAATCCTGGGGAGGAAGAGCTCAAGGCTAAGAGTATCCGGAAAGAGGATATGGAGAGGGTGATGCAGGATTTGGAGTTGGAAAGGTTCATTGAGAAGCCGGTTAGTATGCTGAGTAATGGGCAGTCGAGGAGAGCGAGGATTGCGAAGGCGTTGCTGAGTGGGCCTGAGATGCTGTGTTTGGATGCGCCGTTTAGTAAGTTTAGCTACGTAGTAGAGTTTGTAAGAGGACTCGCTAATGACAGGGTGAAGTTGGTTTGGATCCGATTGTCACGAAGCATATTTCTGGTGTTTTGCATCGCTTGGCTGAAGCAAATGCTCCACGCATTGTGCTTAGTTTAAGGCCTCAGGATGATATTCCAGAGTGGGTTACGCATCTTGTGTATGCGGGGGAGGATGGGGTAGTAGGACGGTTAGGGACTAAAGAAGAGGTCTTGAGATATCTGAATGAAGAGTATAAATCCAGTCAACAAAGCGGGACTGCCAAGATACAAAAGTCGAACACAAAGGAAGTCCAGGAAGTAGGTCGCCTTCTATCTGAAAAGGACCCAAAGGCTGCAACAGAGCCACTACCAGTCCTAAGTCGAGACGGTTACAAAAAAACCGACAAATCTACCCCATCCCCTGGCGAACCCCTCGTCGAAATGAACGGCGTCCGCATCTCCTACGGCGCAAACTCCATCCTAGGAGACTGGCATCAACCCACCACCACCTCCAGCACCCCCGGCCTCCACTGGACCGTCAACCGCGGATCCCGCTGGGGTATCTTCGGTGCCAATGGCTCCGGTAAAACCACCTTACTCAGCCTCGTAACATCCGACCACCCACAAACCTACTCCGCCCCCGTCAAACTCTTCCAGCGCTCGCGGCTCCCCTCACCAGGCACACCAGGCATCTCGATCTTCGAGATCCAAGCGCGGATGGGACATGCGAGTCCAGAAGTGCACGCGCTGTTTCCCAAGCGATTGAGCGTGAGGGAGGCGCTGGAGAGCGCGTGGAGTGAGACGCCGATTTCGCGGCCGAGGTTCGATGACGGTGCGGAGAGGAAAGCAGAGGCGGCTTTGAAGTGGTTTGAGAGGGAGATTCGACCGAGTTTCCAGGGCCAGAAGGAGAGGGATGGGGGGCTTGAATGGGCGAAGCAGACGTTATTCGGAGAGATTTCGTTTTCCGCCCAACGTGTCATCTTATTTCTGCGGGCTACGATTCGGAATCCTGATATTGTGATTTTGGATGAGGCGTTTAGTGGCATGGATGATGCGGTGAGGGACAAGTGTTTGCTTTTTCTTAGTTGGGGGGAGGGCAGGGAGGTGGATGAGGGGGGTAGAGCTGTGGAGACGGGGAGAGGGGATGGGGTGGTGAAGGGGTTACAGGAGCATCAGGCGTTACTTTGTGTTAGTCATAGTAAGATGGAGGTGCCTGGGTGTGTGAGGGAGTGGGTTTGTCTGCCTGAGCCCGGGACGGGACCGCCGAGGTTTGGAAGGTTTGATGGACCGATTGAGTTGGATGAGAGACGTTGGAAGGAGGTATGGGGGGAAGTTTAGACACTTTTTACATTCAATATATCGAACCTCCTATGCTTCGACTTACGCTTTATCTTCATCAAGCTTCATATCCTTCTGCCCACCCACTTTCTGCGCCTTGTCCAAAATCTCCCCCGCCAACCTCTCAAGATAAAACCTCGCCACATCCCCTGGTATATCCTTGAATGCCCTTACAATCTTCTCCACATCCCTTCTCCCATTCTCGTACGCCTGTAAATCCCTGTTGCCATAGACGTCCTTGCCCGCCGCATACCCCTTGTCCAGACCCCTCCAAAACACGTTTACCGCTACACTAACACCGTCCTCGGGCGTCGCCGTGTGACTCCACATAGGGGGAATGAAGAGGACGTCTCCGGGTCCGAGAGAAGCTACGTGCGGGTGTGCATGACGTAGCTTGTGGTTTCTGGACGTCAGGACATCGGTGTTTGACGAGGAGCCTCCTGGTGGGAAGTCTAAGAGGGAAACATCGGAGGGTGGGTAGAGAAACAGTGTCTTTTTGCCGTGGACTTGGCACAGTATGTTGGATAGGACGTCGTAGTGTAGCCATAGAGACACTGGGCCTGAGATGCGGAGCGGGGAGCTGTGATAGTTTTCCTTGACTAAGTCACATACATCTGGGATTCTAAAGTCATTAGCAATTGTCGGGAAATCTTCTTCGAGTTTTGTAGGTAGCTTATTTGGCTGGCTCGATGATACCGCACGCAGGTATTCATGAGAACTATTTGCGATGCCGTCGAGGAAGTCAGCGGTGGATTTCTTCACGTAGGAGAAGTTCTTGTCCTTGAACGTCATCCGATCGGATGAGCACTCATGGACTACGATTTCCCTTTCTGGACCAATTTTCTCTTTCAAGTAGTCAAGAGTCCAAAGGGCTGTGCACGGGCCAATTTCAAGGCCGGTGATGATGGCGGGCTTCGAGGAGGCAACAAGTCTCGCAAAGTCATCTGACGAACTGACCTGGGTCCTTTGGATCTCGGCCGTACGTGCCGCCATCACAGGCCTCTTTTTCCCACTTGCCTTCTCTCGACGACCATCACGTCTTGTTTCAGCTGCATTCGCTTGTCCTGTGCCTTTTGTGCCTGCTGTGCCGCTGCCAGCCTGACTCGGCCCAACACAACGCCACGACTTGGCCCCTTGCGTAGCGCCAGGGAGAATGGAAATCGGATCTTGGTTCCAGTAGCTGCCCATTGAGAAGCATACCGCTCCTCCTCCTGCAAGCACAATCTCGCCTCGAGAGGATGAAACGGCTCCTACGCCCACTAGCAAAGGCCACGACGTATGGGGCGAGACGTGCATGCTGGGACGCTCCACTTGAATGATCGTGTCCTTGCATGTCAAGAGCAGAAAGTCATCTGATAAACTGTGGATATGCTTTTTCGAAACACCTCCAATCATCAACAGAGCATCATTCCAGGGGACTAGGACAGAGCCTATACGCGCGTGTGCAGAATTTGTCAGGCTATTACGCACGTCATTGGTGCGGTTCTTGAAGCTCACTCGTGGTGTTGGTGTGGTGGAAATGGACCACTCCCACAAGGCGTCGTCGACAACCACGCCGCTCTCGTTGCCACCTCCTGTGAGCAACCCGCAGTTTCTGGCTGAATTGATCGTACACGTTGCGGCACCAAAACGTGGAGACGGGTGCGGTCCGTCAACGGAGATGCTGTGCCAGCCGGTGTTGGCAGTCCACAGAGCACAGTAATCGTTGGCGTCAAGTACTGTGCCGTCACTGGCTTTGCCACCAAATACTAACACTCCATACGTCTGCGCCTCCTCAGATCCTAGTTGAATAGCGACTGCTGAGTGACGATAACGAGCTGGCACGAGATCATCTATTTTGATCCAAGTTCCATGCTTGAAGAGCCAGCAATCTGCGCATGCTTGGGTGGGCGACCCACGTCCCCCGACCAACAACGCCTCACCATCTTGCATCGATGTGATTGTATGGCACATACGTGCAGTAGGTATCAGATTACCAGTTTGAATGGCACGATCCTGGTCAGAGTCCTCCTGTCTCAGCGTGTCCATATCGGCGAGACGGGTCTGCGTTCCTTGTCCTCCATGAAGAGCCACTGTATCCTTGTCCAGTGTGAAAGCCGCCGGAAAACGGCGTGGCGTCAAGGTAGCATCAGTGTGCTGCTTCCAACAATGCAGGGTAATACTCCCCGCGTCGGTGCCATTCACACACTCCTTAGTGGCTGTCTCCTTGTGGATCGGCTCATTTGACCCCTGTGTCTCCGCGTTGGAAGCGACAAGCAGGAAATAATGGCCGCCGAATAGCGCAAATTCCTCCCACTCGTCAAAAGGCTCAGTGACATTGATTGTGCGTCTGAGGCTAGGAGGGGTAAACGAATCATCGGACCAGAGATCCCACAGATTACGAGCCATGACAAGCGTTGGCCAACCGGCGTTGCGGAACCGAGCTGCTTGTTGATCCAGTGATGAATGTAGCTTAACCGCTTTGATTGATGCCTGCAATTTGTCAAAGTGAGAGAGCATAGTTTTAGCAAAGGGGTGTTCTGGGCCTTGAGGAAGATACTGCTCTAGACGGCATCGAGTCAGTGCGGGACGGGATGTATACAGATATGCAGGATCTTGTTTTACCTAGTATACAGAAGCGGGCTACGATGGTCAGTAGTTTCCTTCAATTGGGTCTTCGAGCCGACATACCGTCTCCGATGGTGCTGGCCCACTGTATCAGTGCATCAGAGTCCTTGAGCGGCATGTAAGTCACAGATACTTCGGCGACGAACAAAATTGAGGTTGCCGAAATATCAAACTCGGCTCGAATAACTCTTTCGAGTGTTGCAAGATCTTTGAGGTCGCAGCCTAGTGCCATATAGCCGTCACTGCGGAGAAGTATAGGCTGCTCGGTCTGACGGAGCTTGGTCTTCAACAGGGCGTTACGAAGGAGGTCATTGCTTAGCATGCGATCCCGCTTCTTCTCCATCAATTGCGGATAGTCAACATCCACAAAGGTAGCCGATTGTGCGAGAGAAGGATGCCTGTGCCAGAACTGGAAGGGCAAGGGATCACTCCTAGGAGTCAGTGTCGCCTGAAATAAGATGAGCTGATGCCGAATGTCTTACTCACTATCCACATCCGAGATTTACAACGACTTTTGACTTTCCATTTTCTTCTTCTAGAAACCGATGGATTGCCTGCTCGATGGCGTGCATTCGCAGCCAGTAGCCGCGGTTGATTAGAGGATCTTTTTTTGGACATGGTCAGTATGCTTAAAACACCAACAGGGTGAGCCACATACTGCGACGAACAAATTTTGGCACAAATGGCTCATAAAAGTCTGGTTCATGGCTGAGATACAGTTTGGAAACGCTTCTCTTGGACACAATGCTACTATCATTTGTCTGATGCTACGTCAGTCCCGTGACTGTGAAAAAGGTGGTGGACGGCCTCACATTCATAATGTCAATATCCCTTCTTTCACGCAGGGATTTCTGGTTACCCTTGCGCTTGGCTGAGCCCTTCTTGGGCCGCGCGCCGTTATCCGTCACCATGTCTGGGGTTGGGTTTGCTCGTAATGCGGAGGGGTGGTTACTGAGAAGAGTAATGTTTTTGCTGGGCTGGTGCCTCAGCCACAACGTGGGGCTGAGGCTGACGTCGGGATCCCTGCATGCGCGTGAACCATGGCCGGCAGGTGCGAAGCAGCTACATACAAGTTGTAAATAGTCTCTAGGCACCTCCTCCTGCGCAGTCCAACCTCCATACCGGCATATCAGCTACTTCATCGCCATCTCTTCGGCACACGAGGATATTTTACACGTCGCCCACAGGGCTGACCGCTCACAAACGGCTGCCCCAAGCTCCACTTGGCTGTCACCTGGGTAGCTCACAGCTATTGCAGCTACAGCAACAACTACTTTCACACAGCGTCCACGACACCGAGAGCGGTACATCCGGAATCTCTCTGCAGCCATGAACTTTGTTACATTCAATCAGGACCACAGCCACCTGGGTGTTGGTATGTCGTGTGCACACCTGTGGCGGCATCGAAACTGACGTAGTTACTCACCAGGCACCACAAATGGGTACCGCATATACACAACCGACCCGTTTAACAAGCAGTCCGAGTCGCGCGAAGGCGATGTTTCAAGCCTTGAGATGCTCTTCTCGACGTCGCTAGTTGCGCTCACATTGTCGCCCCGAGTGCTGCGGATACAAAACACAAAGGTTTGTTCCATGACAACCTGCGCTGTCCTGGCTAGGCACTGACAAGGCCAAGAGACACTCCACGATATGCGAAATGACCTTTAGGACGGCTATCCTCGCTATGCGCATGAACAGGAAGCGCCTAGTTGTCGTCCTGGAATCAGAGCTCTACATCTACGATATAAGCAACATGCAGATGCTCAAGACCGAGAAGACGTCACCGAACCCCAACGGTAAGGTGGCCCAGTCAAATGATTCACAGTCGCTAACATGTGTAGCCATATGCGCCCTCTCTGCGTCGTCAGAAAACAACTACCTCGTGTTCCCACTGCCCACCAAAGCCGCACCTGCCACCTTCCAACCACCCTCGCATGCACCGCCCAAGACTGATCACATCGCACCTACCAGTGGAGAGGTATTGATATATGATGCCACCAAGATGGAAGCAGTCAATGTAATAGAAGCGCACAACTCTCCGCTGTCGTGTATTGCGCTCAACAGCGATGGCTCCCTGCTGGCGACAGCATCGGAAAAGGGCACTATTATTCGCGTTTTCTCGATTCCAGATGCGCAGAAACTATACCAGTTCAGAAGAGGCTCCATACCAGCGAGGATATACAGTATGTCGTTCAACTCGGCCTCAACACTATTGAGCGTCTCCTCAGCAACGGAGACGGTGCATATCTTCCGTCTGGGTGCACCCAACAGCAGGAGTAATAGCGTATCTTCGGGACCTACGCGACCGGGGGGCTCTGCCCATCAGCGAAATAGTAGTCGAGCAAGCGAAGAGGCATCTGACGAATTCGGTGCTAGTACAGCAGACATGGCGCCTCCAGAACGGAAAGCAATCAACCCCACTTTTGGAAGCTTGATACGCCGCACATCCCAAACGGTCGGAAAGTCATTCGCTGCTACCGTGGGAGGATACCTGCCCAACGCAGTAGCGGAGATTTGGGAACCGTCGCGCGACTTTGCCTGGGTCAAGATACCACGCTCACCCAACAGCTCGTCGTCAGGCCCAGTAAGGAATGTTGTTGCACTTAATAACAATGGGCCTCAGATCATGGTTGTCACTAGCGAGGGCAACTACTACGTCTTCAACGTCGACCTCGAAAAGGGAGGCGAGGGCACTTTGTATAAGCAATACTCGTAAGACACATGTTTGCTTGTTCTTGGTTGACTTTTGCTAACGTCGACAGTCTTCTCGAACCGAACGAGCTTGCAGCAAGCAATTCTCAAGATCTACCAGAATAGGCTTCCCGCTTTATGGATTTTCTGATATGATTCGTGAACGTGTTCGTGGCGTCTTGCTGCATTTCCTCTGGCGTTTGGTGGTTTCGTATTATTCCCCGTAGACTGGCGTATCCTTGCCTTCGGTAGTGCCATATCTCACACTGACGTACTGGCGCATACTTTGCAGCTTTGTTGTACAGCAATACACGTATTCCTGTTTGTGCGCAACGCTTCGTACCTTTGGTGATGTCATTAAATATTCTATCTGGAAGCTGATTGAGCTATGCTGCAGCATCGTGCATGAACAGATATGGTGAGTGTGAAGTGCGGCGATCCAGCTGCAGCAGACCTGCAGCGGACGTGATTAGCGCAACCCCAGACCCCGCCCCTGCGTCATTGGCTCTCTTTTGACAGCTCCCAACTCCGCTGCCTGATCGGGAACCACACTTGAACCTTGACAACCACCATTTCTTTTAATCACCCCATACATCCACTCTCTTGGTCTTTCTCCTGCTACCACATAGATTTTACATAAATTAACCGCCTGCAACAAAGATCAACCCCCCAAAACATGGTTCAAACAAATACAACAGGCAACCCGCTCAGCGCGGGTTCGCTCGCGTTGTTCATGGCCACTTCGCTACCTAAAAGCGAGGCATCACAGCTCAAGAACGGAACAGAGGCCGTCGCACTGGCAGTCCACGCTGGCATGCTTGCCGTCGGTTTCCGTCTCATTGGACTAGGCGAAGACGAGCGCATAGGTAGGTACTCATGTCCTCTACTTTTCTGGTTACCCATCATAACTTAGATGCTCACAGAAGCGCATGCAGACGCCGAAGACCCAAAAGAACTACCTGCACAATGGAACGCTTCCTCCTCGTACGCATTTCGATATGCACACGCACAGTCAGCCATGGAGTTTCTCGTCAAGGTCAACAGATTAGGAGGCAAGGCCGTTATCTTCGCCCTGGCCGTGGGCGACGACAAGACGACACATTTCGAGCTCACCACAAAGGACTACCTCTCCGAATCACAACTACCCTTCAGCGTTCCTGAAGGAACTTCAATAGAGGATGCATCACGAAAATTGCAAGATCTCTTCATCTCACCCGGCCGGCTGAACGATCTTGGCTCGCTGCTCAAAATCTCTGTGATCCAGAAGCTGGCGCCACGTTTGAACAAGCCCGGCTATGAGGAAAGCACAATGGATCAGGAACGCACACCCACAGCAGATCGACAGGATCCCCAACGAAGTGATCCTCCTAATCCACGGCAGCCGCCAGCTGATCCTGACCCCGCGCGACCCCACCCATTCAATGATCCCCTTGCCGCTCCACAACGGTCAGGCCGACATGTGCCTGAACCCATACCCGGCTTTGACGATGAACTGGACTTGAACCGGCAGCCAGGCCGTCTTCAAGATAATCGGAATCCCATTAATATTGGTCATGACGACTTGTACCCACAGGGACTCGGGCCCAACGATCCTCTACGACCACATCTAGCTGGTGGTCTACCAAGACCAGGTGGTTTCGGTGGCGGCGGCATGCACCCTACGTTCGACGATCCGCTATTTCGTGGTCAAGGGGGACAAGGCGGCTACGATCCAATGGCTCCTCCGGGCGCGCGATACGATACGTTTGGGCCTGGAGATCCGAGAGCAGAGGATAGAGGACGAGTCCCCCGCTTTCCCGGTGGAGGAGGTGGTGGTGGTTTCGGCGGACCTGGAGGTTTCGGCGGCCGCCCACCAAATCCGTTTGGAGGCTTTGGGGACGGCGATTTCATCTAAGCAGGCCAATGTTAGCAGAATCTCAAAGAAATCGATAGGATGATGGATGTTAATGATGCGAGGAAAAGTCTGCGAGTGATGAATCTTATGACGGCATTTGGTCAGTACGGCTGATGACGCGCGTGCGGCACGGTTGGAGCTGCAGTGCCCTTGACATGACAATCTACATTGGCCGAGGCACCACGTTGGCAGATTAACCCAGCCTATGTAGCAGTATTGTACTACAATAAATCTCATCTCCTGATGCGTATGTAATTGCATGCAGGCTCTGTCATTCTTTTCTCTGTTCCTGCAAGTCCCGCCCTGCTTTGTCTACCCAGGCCGTTTGCCCAGTGCGTTGCTTGTATCCAAAAACCCCATAGCCCCCTCCCTAATACAGAAAAGCACAAGGCGCCAGACTATCAAAACCCCGCAGTCCCCTTATCTTGTCTATGGCCTTACCTTCACGATTTTCAATCGGATTCACATCGCCTACCCCGTTCTTTGTTCCTGCCTCAAGCACAGCACGGCATACAAGACAATCCACAAGACCGGCGTCGTGTTTCACCATCCCCAAAGAGTTGCATGCAAGTAGGCTGTGTACAGCACGTGTAGCGCTTGACTTTGCCTTTTTCTCTTGCAGACACATCCCATTCAAAGCTAGTTCGAAGTGGGGGGAGGGGAGGCTTAGACTTCAAGGCAGAATGGTCTTGAATTAGTTACTGGGCTATGGTTGTGTATGTGGGTGTGAGTTATCTTTAGCACTGCACTGCTTTTGCAGTAGAAAAGGTGGTTTTCTTCACATGGTATGCAGTGGAGACTTTGAAGAGGTATACACACGCCTGGGTCGATCTCACCTGCTCTGCATATAGACTGAGGATCGAATGACGCATTTTGTTGGTAGGGTCACTGGGAACTGGTGCATGTGTGTAAGGAAACTCGGAATTCTCTTCCGTATACTGATCTTGGAAGGTCGAGTGGTGCACTGGTGCACTCTGTGTATGTGTGGAGAAGGGGGGGGGGGGTTGCGATTGCGAATCTGCGACGAACGTGCTTCTTTGAGGGGAGACGAATTTGGGAACATTGGGGACAACTCACGCACGTTGGCAGCGCGAGTGCAAACGCTCGCGGTAAGAGGTAGGTGACAGGCTCCTTCTAGTCACAAAGGGGGACCGGGGGATGAACAATGGGCCGGGCGTGCGTGGGCAGAAAGGACAAGTATCGACATCCCACGTATGCACCTGGCTGACCACTCCTCCCACCTGTTGCCTTAGTCCCCTCCACTTCGCTATGCTCCTACTAAGAAAGTTACCAGTAGAATCACGCGGTGTGGCGCGCTGCTAAGCAGTCTCTTTCGCCAAGCAGCCGCCCACGAGCCTATCGCTCTTGCCCGAGTCATCCTAGTTTTTTTTTCGTGGTCTCAGCCCAGGTTGTGGTGCCTTGACAGGAGATGTGGGAGGATGGTGAATTTACCAGGCAGTTGGGTCGAACACGGCTCGCATATTCTTCAGTTCCAAAGGGTTGCCCTTTGGCAGTTGTGGCGAAACGAACCCGAAGAGCATTCGTCATATACTGCCGGTGGCTCAAGCCACCGGGCAAGAAAAGAAAAGAAACCAAGCGACTCGGTCCATGGTATTGACTACTGTTTTTTTCTGGGACCTCTAGTATCAGCGTCCTTAGTGGGTGCGTGTGAAAGTCTTGTGTTACAGCAGACCGTGCTGTTGGCAAGGGGGGACATGTGGGGGGGAGCGAGAGCAAAAAACCGCGCTTGCACGGCGCTTCTACCTAGGCGCGGAAGGGCGGGATGCAAGGCGACCGAACGACAATCCTTATCGTATCGGATTTGTGCCTTCCTGAAGGATCGGTGCAAAAATTCGTCCACCACTCCCGCGCAAGACTTTTGTTGCCTCACTTTTCTGCCGTGCAACAGCCGCATCAATGGAGTAAGCACCGTAGTTCACCTTTTTGTAGCATCTCTAGCATATTGTTCACTCTTTTTTTTGTTTTTTACCTGGCTGACAAACTCGTGTCATTGTACACGTCCCATCTTAGTTGACTAATCCGTTGATAGGCTGGATGGCGGTACACGAAGTCCAAGGAACATGCCCCCACCGGGCATCAATTAATCCGGTCAACCGCAAGTAGTACAGATATCGACAATGGTGTGTTTACCGGAAGCATACAGCCTTGCGTACCTTGGGGCGCTTGAAAGGTACGAAAATCCCGGGTGCCGGCATACCCTTCGCATGGCCTTGCCTTCCGCGAGCCGTTGTCTTGCACACGAGGAGACTCTCGCAGGCACAAACGCTTAGGAGAGGAACTTTGCCGCCATTTGCACCAACAGTAACGGCGCAATGGGCCTGCCGATTGCCTAAAAGAGCGAATATCCACTCAAGTATGCAGCCTCATTTATGCAATTATCCCTCTTTTTATACCCCTTGCAAGTGATTTTAGGGGCCGAACACAGAGCCATCGTTCATCCCGTTGGTCGCAGTGCCGATCGACAGGCGCCGGGCGCTTAATCAATGGCTACAAAGAGACAAAGTACTCCACTCTTAGTGACGATGTCTATATGCAAGGTGAAGTGTTAAGAGTTTCTGGGTCCAGGCCGTTAATATGCGCCGCGCATGAAGTTCTTTGTCGCAAATTTGCTGTTGTTTCCGTTTGGCCATGTTTCTGGATTCAGCGTATTGGGCTTGATTACCGCGACTTTGTTTTCAGCGGCCATTACCTATAGGCTAGACTAGGGAGCTGATCAACGTCCTGTGCAAACGCATTCTTACCGGACTTATGAATGTACGCCCGTCGGCACACTACTGGACCCAAGGGCTTACATGTGATAGCCGTAGACTTGCTAGACATACAGGTGGTTGCATGCCACGCAGTCGCTACCAGTACAGTGGACATTGTGTCATTGTATGTAGTTGCAGTACGCGATGTGGGCATACATTGCAGGCTGGACCTTGATGTCTTGCTTGTTATTTGTGTTTCGGGAGCTCGTATGATGACAGGTCAGGGAATCAGGGATGGTGCTTCCCCGCAAGCGAGATGAAGAGGATCTAGTTCTCTCCCCCCGGAGCGCAAAGCCCATCCTCCATCTACGCTCTGTCCGCGTTCATCCCAAAGTTGCTTGACACGATCATGCGTTTTCGCCGCGTAATGAGACCAAGCTGAAGATCTCGGGGAAACAGCCGGTTGTAGCAAGCAAGACGGTTGCGGATATGCCAATTACCGGCCCGATCTGGCCGTGCCACAACGTTGCGATCTTAGCAGAAGAAAGGGGGCCGGGGGGCACTCATGGCGCAACGCCATCAGCTTGACTTTCTTTTTGTCCGTATGATGGCCGACCTGAATGGCTCGAATGCCGACGCCATTACGTGTATTTGACGGGTTAACCGCAAAAGTGCCGAAGCTTGGTTGAAGAGGTATCAAGCGCCAAGAGCTTTTTCTGTTTGAAGACAGGCTCCGGGCTGCGAACACGCCGAGGCCGGTTATGACAGGCGATTGAGGATGCTGTCAGCGTAATTTCTGTTCAGAGTCAAACTTGGTCGTTCGGCGTTAGCAACAAAAAATCCGTTTGCCGATAGGCTGGGAATAGGACCGACTGCGCTTGAACCAGTCTTTATCGCGCCAGACTAGGCCATGCAAACACAACTGGTACATACATACTATGTACATACTACACACATGGACGTGTTTCTGGTCCGAGGAGTGCAGAGTGAGGTCGCGCAACAGCCTCGCCTGGCAAATGTGTGCAGGTCAGCTTGGAGGCAGAGGCTAGCCGTGTAGAGGATGCAGTTCGCCGCCTTCCTGTTCCATCGTGGGTGGTATTTTGCCAAGGCGCTGCACTGGCTTAGTGCGGTAAGCGTTCCCAGTTCCCGGATTTTTGGGTGGGTTTCCTGCATATTCTCAAGGTCTGTGATTCCACATGGACGCTGCTCGGCCCACGTCTGCTTCTGGAGACTGGTCCATACACGCGCTCAATCATATCATTGGCCGGGGAAGCCGACAGCCGTGTCCGCAAATAGTGGGCCAGCCCTAGGGCATTCGAACGATTGGCTCCACCGGGTTGACGTGATGGGCGTTACCCTGATAATCATCAAGCGAAACCGGGAATATACTCCATTATTCTCCGTTCTGATGCCTGGGGGACTCGCCACGCTCGACATCATCGTTATTGTCATTACCATTAGAGAAGAACACGAAACCCGCATCTCCGCGCTTTTTTTTTTAGCGCGTCGTACGGACGTAGTTAGACATGCCCATTCGCAATGTCATCGACTTTTGGCAGCGAAGACCGTAATTAGTGACCTGCCCCGTCAGTCAAAGGATCGCGCATCGCAAGGGAGGAAACCCAGCTGGCTGCTTGGCTAGCTTCGCAAGGCTCTGTTGTGGATTCCCCTACTATACGTATCGTCTCGGCACTAACAACCCCAAGCCGAAAAGTGGGTGGAACGCCTAAATTATGAGTAGCTGTGACTCTGCGCAGCTTCAACCCTGTTGCCTACGCCGGTCAACCTAATGTCAATGTACGTCGTGGTACTATAATACCTCCCTGCTATGCGAACATCTGGGCTCAGAAAAAAACACATTATATGGCCCATGGCGCAAGTGCGCGGCAGCAGAGCAGTTGCCATGCGACGTTGGTTTTAGCAGTGTTGTACGTGGCTCTAGCGAGGCGGCGTCTATCGTGGAGGCACACGCGCGGCGATGCGCTTCGCTAGTAAGGATTCAGCGGCTCGCGCGGGTGGCGGAAGCATCGCGGCTACTGCAGCCTGCTTAAACGCCGTAGCGCCGCGTACCTGGTGATTTGCGCAACACGGCGGCAGAAAAGACAACATGATGTGCAATGGCGTGCTGTTGCGTCAGACAGGTTACCAGCACCGTGTTTGCGGTGTCCCAGCAATCTGTCCGTCAATTTGTGCCAACACAATCGTGTACGGGTACCCACCTCCTATCCTTTTGAGACATTGAAAGACACGAAGCCACAACAACCTCGAATATTAAGATCGAGCTGACCACTCCGCCTTTTGGTTCATGCATGTCGGAAATCTACAGCGCCCCGTTCGCTGCCCTGTCAATAACGCAAATCGTTTACCAGGATACCGCGACTGTGCATTTGGGGGCCTAACGCCTCTATTCCTTCCCTTCCGCAGGCGTCCGCTGTGGGGAGGGCTTGCAGCGTACGAGAAGCAGGGCTTTTTGGCTGTTTCGTTCCATGACGCGAATGCAGGTACCTGCTTACCACGTTTGGCTGCCCTTTGGGAAACGCCTCTAGGTGAAACCGTGCGAGATTCCATGTCTTGAGAATAGAGACACCTGGTCAGGCCACAACCAGCACAGGTCCTTGCATTTTGACGCTAGAAATATGATAAAGGGGGGGGTAGTACAGTTGGGTCCAGCCTCATTCTTGTCCACACAGTGTTTCCAACAGCCGCGCCTTTCGTTGCAAAGACATGAGATGGTTGGTCGCTTCGCGGATTACTGGCTCCTTTGATTGCACATGGATCCTCTTACCAGCTGACCGCAGGCTTGAGATCACCGTATGATGCTGTTGGTTGTATATTGCAGGAGCTGAATGGCTACGTCAACGGCCGTGTGGTGTTGCCATCGGCAGCGCCCATCGGCCCTGGGAGGGAAAGCCGATAGCCGGCAACGACGGCTGATGTCAGGCATAGGCAGAATCAGGCTTGTGTGCACACGGTTGCCGTTGGCCTGATGTATTGCTGTCCAATGAGGCTGTGGAACCCACAACTCGTATTGATACGCGGGGAGTGCTGCGCATCAATACTTGTGGACTCTAGAGTCAATCTGGACTTCATTGCGAACATGTGCCGATGTTACAGTGGCCCATCCAGCGACCCGACTGCGACGCAATGCAGTAAAATGTCTCAGTCGAGATGGGCTTGGCTCGCAGCAGAGGAGCCAGTCCAGGTACAATCCTCCGCGGCAGGGCAGCTGGCTTCAATACTTAGGGGTGGAGAGGACAATAGCTAGCCTGGATTGGGAGGCGTCTCCATCCAGTCGAAGAATGTGTGCCGTCACTCGCATTCGAAGCACGTCACATGAGCGGCGCCGGGTATTGTTCGGGAAGCGTCACGTCGACGCCAGATGCCGCTTCTTTTGCGGTACAGTCATTCTGAATGCAAATGTAAATGCATATACTATACGGCGAGGCGGCTGTTGATCGTCTCACGCACCCATTACCCAGCGGCAGAAGAAAGAGAGGGACTGCTGGGGCCAGAGAGCACGCGCAGCTGCGTGTGTGACTCGGCCCAGAGTGGCGGGTCGGGCAGCAGGCGGCCGTTGTTGCGATGACGGGTTCGTGCAAAGCGGAAGAGAGAGTTAGACGCAGAGACGCGTTGAAACAAGGAAGACGAAACGGGGAGGTCGTTGGGGTGTGGGAGTGTGCAAAGGGCTGTGTTGCCGTGACGCAAGCGGCCTAGCGCACTCCCGGCCTGCACCCTTCCAACCTTCCAACCAGCCGACGTGGCTCGAGCCAGATAAGACGAGCCCAGACGGCCATACATTAAGCGCCCGCCGCGACGCTATCCCGCTAGTCTTGGGGCAGACGGCTAAGTTGCAGCCAGCTCTTCCAGGGATTGATATGCCGTGTGGGTCGTGAGCGATGTGAGACATGGTAAAGCGCTGCAGCACTGTACGAGCCACGGTCGCCCGCTGTCACTGCCGTCAACGCCGCCCCAGACCACACCTGCAACAAGCGGCCAGCCAGGTAATATCACTCTCCCTCGCAACCGAAGCTCCCTGCGTCTAATTCTATACGCCTGTGAGCCTCGTCGCTGTGCCACAGGTCGCAGCGTATCGTGGGCCAGTCAGATGCGGCCCGCCTGCGTCTTGCTCAACGAAGGCGCTTATTATGCACTATGCCTGCACCATTTCACAAACAGACGCATCCATGTCGTTGTGGGCTGCTGGCTATGGACCGCGGTTCGTGGCTTGCGGTAATGGTCCCCGTGTCATCCCCGCCTCAGGTGGGTTGTACAGAAAGACGTTGTGGGCAGTCCGTGCCGGGGGAGGCGTGTGGTTGCCAGGGACTGCCCTTGGTGGCGTTTCCACACCTACCCTGAACTCAGACAAATGATGCCACACTCAGCACATCTCTTGTATGGCGAATTGCCAATGTACTTGGTCGGGCTGAATGTGATCATATTGGCACTACGTGCGAGAGGGCACCATGCGCATTGAAGCCAGGCACCCTCACTATGTCACTGCAATTTGTCTACCACTCTCACGTCCTTTCGACCGTCTCGAAAACTCCAAAAATGCAAATGTCCACCCACGCCAAAAACACAAAAAAGCAATATCATCCAGACCCAAACATTAAAAACACTTGCTGCCATCTGCCATGCGAACCTCAAGAGGGATAAAGGATAGTGTTTCACAAATGTGAATTGACGATTCCCGAACTCATAACCTCCGTACGACGAGAACATCCATCACTCTTATGCCTAGAGAATTGTCAGTGACATGGACAAGTGGACTTGTTGGACTCTCCCTTACCTTGTCAAAGTGTCCTTGCGACCAAACATAGCAGAGCACTTCTCACACTGCCATGGCCTCTTCTTCTTGTGCACACACTCGTCGTGACGTATTAAGTCTGCCCTGCGTACAAACTCCTTTCCACACGCTTCGTAAGGGCACACATGGTCTTTCCTGCGAACTGCCTCGTGTATGAGCATATGCTGTGTCAGGTTGTGTTTCCTGGCAAAGCCCTTGTCAGGACAAAACTCGCACAGGTATGCAGCGTGAGCTGGATCCGTATGTCTGCGGTTACGAGTTTGTCTGCGTTGTATGGCTGTGACGGCGAGGCTGGGGCGAGCTTTTCGAGACTGTGGGCTGTGCATGCTTCCCTCTGACGGCGCTCTCTCGTAGACCACATCGTTGTAGTTGTACATGTGATTCGGTTCGCTTCGGAGCAAAACTGGTGATGGGTATGCATTCTCGTACGTATACATGCCCGTGCTGAGCCGTTCTGGTGCTACGGTGAGGGAAGGTTGCCTCGAGTTTGCAATTTCATGCACATGTCCTGGACCGTCTGTACTGAAATGAACTTGTGGGCTCCATCCCGGAGTTTCGACCTTCACTGAGCTAGGGTACGCGTGCTCTGAGCCATCATGGGAAAATGCCGACATTTCGCGTGTATATGACAGAGACGAACGTGGAGATACCTGTGCAGATGACCAGGGCAAGGGTGAGCGGGATACTGGATAGTCAAAAGCCCCCGAGTGATATGGGTTGGCAAAATCTCCCGGCGAAGAAACGTTTGCAAGTTGACCATTCCAGTTCGGTGACGGTTGAGGTGATGGAGGCAGACCATTTGGGAATGTAGGCTGAACTTCGTATAGACCGAGGCCTTGCGGGTACTTGGACCGCGACTCTCCTCGCCCTGGCGAAGGATAGGGCGATTCCATTAGGGCGCCTGTCTCTGGAGCACGGAGTTGGTAGGGCGATTTGAAGGGCGGCGTAGGTTGGTCTGGGTACAACATGATGAAGGAACAGAAAAGGAACAAAGGGAAACAATGTACAAAGTCTTTGAGGTGGGCCAAGGTAGTGAGAAGTGAAGGTGTATTGAGGGGATAGTGGAGTGCAGGAAGCTGAATGAAGAAGGTGAATGAAGGCTGAACCGAGATAAGTTATATTTGTAAGAAGCAGCAGCTGAGCAGCCTTGCCAGATCCAAGATCAGACTTCGGTTTGTATGCTCCACCAGTGTATTCTCGAAGCATGCGTTCAAACAGTGGGCTTTTGAGTGTTAGGCAGACTCCCAAATTATGCTAGGCAAGACCAGCATGAACAAAGCTCGAGCCGCCTGCGCGGCAGCGCCTGTTAGTTCATGGGGCTATGAAGGAGTGCGTGTGCAGGGGCATGCAGTCGACAGTGGCCTTGACCGGGGTGGCCAAGTGAACCACACTGTCGGGTACCTAGACCTTAGCGGGCCGAACACAAAATCCTTGCGCCGACCGGACTTTGAGGCGCAAGAGGAGAGGGCGGTTGTACCCATGCCCGTGTGCGTCCCCCATGAAACTGACCATCCTGGCCAACCTGCCCTGCGTGCATCCGCCGTTGATCGTTCGTTCGTTCATTCATTCACGGCCCCAGTGTTGTGTGACTGCGAGACCCAACACCCCTATTCTCATGCGTAATTGCTCCACGACACTTCTGGACACGAAAAAATGCAATGCTATTTGATTTTTTGCCCACCATCCTTTTTGCTGCCCATCCTGAACATGCCTACCTCTACTCCCGTGGCTGGAAGCGCCGGCCCTCACGCGGCCGATGTGCTCGCTTCGCGGCCCTCCCGGAGCTGTGACACCATCGCAGTAAGTTCTTCTACCTGGGTGGATAACTTGGCAACTAGTGTTCTCAACTGAGCATCTGATTCCGGCAACCCCGTTCGAGTCTGAGGCCGAATCGCGTGTTGAGCCCTTCCCATAGAATTGGGGAAGCTCGCCATTAGCAAGCGCGGCGAATTCACAGCCAACCGAGGGGCTCTTTTTGACGGCGCAGGTGACTGGGGACCGCTAAACGTCGTCATCTTGGCCTTACCGTTGTGAGGATTGCACAGCTTCTCAAAGGCCCAGATCACAAATACATGGGGCAGATGTGTCGCCTTGAGCATGACGATCCGGACACTCCTCAGCCGCTCAGAGGGCAAGATGAGCCGCAACGGGCGGATGACTAGCGGAATGAGATTCTGGAAGCCGGTCAGCCTTGCGACGGGGAAGCCGAGCGTGGGAGTAGCTTCGTCAAGGGCCCACATGGGTTTGCAGTGCTGCTGTGTCGAGAAAGCCTGAGCGGCAGAACAAGGCTTGCAGGCAGGGTAACAACGGCATAGCGCCCACACAATGACACTCCTCAAGCAAGTCGAGTAAAAAGTTGGTTGGACATGAATGTGTCTTCCACTCTGGTCATAGTGGCTGTGCCAATTGGCCGCTCAGCAGCCCGGCGCTTAATGCCCGCTTTTACGTCCCCATAATAGCATTACACAATGTACGTACCAGTGGAGGCAGAAAGTATGTCAGCCTATTTGAGCTTGATGCTTCAAGCACGTAGACTGAGTAACTGCGTCCATGCCCAAATTAGTAATTTTTAGAGGTCAATGGTTGGGGTGGACGAACACAAACGAGTATTCATCTCTGGCGTGGTCCAAGACCTAGCACTTGTCAGTTCTCTGTACGTAATTCATTACACAGTGCACGGGTCAGTACTATAGCTATGCTGCTCATAGTCCAGGTGAAAGACATGGTTGTGGTGAACCTGGGGTTGAACGTCAAGTGTGGCTGTATCATACCCCCCTCAAAAAACAATGGGCGGAAAAAATCAAGGAACTTCTCCATATCATACATCCTAGGAGAGTGGCTCGAAATGAAGGGGGCGCAGTTGAATGTGGATCGTGGCTTGGCGTGCATAAAACATGTATGCCAGCTTTAGGAATGGGGAATCGACGACCAACGAAAATAATAAGTACCTTGCTTAGTGAGTTACTCAAAAGCGATATCAAGCTTGTAATGAGAAGAATATTTGTCAAAGTGACAAAAATCAGCTAGTACACGGGTCAGAATACAGCAAGATGATGTTATAAATAATCCTACCATGACCGGAGGCCCAAATAACGGCGAACTGTGCACGGTTAACAGACGGTCGATGTCTATTTTTGGGAGACTGCATACATCTCTTCAGCAACATCTGCCCAGGATTGTGTTAGCTACTGCTGAATCGGTTGTGGTGGCAGTGTATCCGTTGCGCAGGTTCTGCATGGAAGTATCAACTCACCGAATCCTAGATAGCTTGATCTAACAAAGAGTCAGCGGGTACAATGACAGTATCAAAATGTCTTCGCTCACCCAAAGAATACTTTGACCAAGATCCAACACTGAGGGGGAAAGTAAGTATATTGTGGTTCAAGTGGCAAAGTCTGCAAGACTGACCATCTGTTTCGCATTGAACCTGCTATCGCGAGCTAGCAACACAAAGGTAGTCAAGAAACCTAGAGGTGATAATGAGTTAACATTCACTTTAGTTCAGTACGCCTTCTTACCTAGGTACAAGATCACCACGAGTGATAAAAACTTGACAAAGTCCTTCGTCATCTCTATGTCTGATTTAGCCGAATAAAGCAAACATTTCACAGCAAGGTGCGCCAACCTTTAAGACAAGGGATCAGAGTCCCAAAATAACGATTGAGACTCAGCAGGGAGAATATGCGTGGTACCAGGAAGAGCGCCTCCAGGCCAAGTACATCATATGCCTGATCAATTGTCGCAGCATGGCCTGTCGCTAAACCAACAACTCCTGTAGGGATTTTAGATCTTGTCTCAATCACATGGTTTGGAGATCTTACTCATCACGCAGAATACAAAGCCAACAACCACTATGCTTATATCCCACGTCCACCTATTGAGGTTAGATAGTACCATGTCGACTCAAACGGATAGGGATGTTACCAAAAGTCCGAAGCATAAAATGACGTTTGTCCGGCATCGATCCAATCTGCAAACTCATCATAAGCAAAGCTGGCAATCCACACATAGAGTAGCAGCTCAGGAACAGTGATGCGGGTATTGTCGCGCCTCACCAGTACCGCGTAGTAGAGTGCCAAAAAGGCGGCGAAGAACAATGTCTCAAAAACTTTGAGATACTGGTAGATTCGTAGGTATGAAATCAGTGTATATCCCACATGCATTTTGTACATTTATCCCTTACCAGTGGAACACGCAGACGAGAAAACGGATCAGCTTGTTTCCGGTTATATCTCCTGGGCTTCTTCTCTGAGTACAAGCTAAGGGTTTCCCAGAAGACGATGTCGCCCTTCCACAAGCCATTGATGATCTTCTGGACCGGTTTCTGTGAAAGGAACTTTTTGGCACCTACACTGGTTCAGTTCTGGACCATGTGGGAGCCAACACAAGGCTGTCAAAAACGTACCGGATACGGCGGCAAGTTCTAAAGCACTGAGATTTTCACATTGCGACACCATCGACCCGAACCGGTTCGGGGCGGAACCATTGTGGTTAAAGTAATCACCATTCGAAGTCGGTAGAAGAGGCGAGCGCTCATTTGGGCCCGCACTGCTAGCTCCGTTCTGATGATCTTGCTGGACGTCCGCTGTATCCGGACTGTTCGAGGCTGATGCAGGAGGCAATTCAACCAGCAAGTACTCTATGATTTCTGCTTCCTTCAGGTTTGTCAAAAACTGCCATGCAACAAATTCGCAAGCGTATCCGCGGGCTTCATTGACCCCCGGTTCGTCGCTGGTTTCTTCTAGTGCTGAAAAGTGTCCTTTCAAAGCCCTGACTTGGATCAGCTCTCTTTGCTACTATTGTAGTCTACGTCTCTCTTGAGTAGTATGAAGCTGCTTCGACGTACATCAGAGCGGAAATTAGGGCTGGATGATCGACTCGGTCGGAAAGGTATTGGACGAGAACCTTAACAGCGTGACCTTCCTGCGATCGACGCAGGTCTTCGAAAGCATGCGGTAACTTAATGTTGTGCTCAAAGAATCTATGGCTCCATTAGAGAACCGCGTCATTGGCACATTGCACCTCACAAACTGACTGGCATAACTCGTCTACCAAGCTCCCAAAATCTTCATTGCCGTTTATCTGGGGCATGCTTATATCACTGACTGGCCATGTCGGCGTAGGAGGTACCGAGACGTCTGTTTCTCGATGCATCGTCATAATTGGTTGGTGTTGAGTATTGCAGAGATTCGCGACGCGTGGGGTGCAGCATGCATCGCGCCGCTGTGGAGCGGACGCGGCAAGTCCCGCGTCATATTTTTCTTGGCAGCCCACCTCTCTTCCTTGGATGTTTCGTGGTCTTACAACACATGAGATTATGGCATAATTTCTTCAATACATGATTTACTCTATTTGGGATCTTGGAAAAATCTTCTGCAGGATCAAAATTCTAAAACTATTTAATCATATGGTAAACTAGTAGGCACGAAAAACCCGCGACATTCACTTCATATCCATTGATGTTCAGACTGCCAGTAGTTAGTTAGTTATACTATGTGAAACATGAATATCTCATCACCAAACAATTGATCACCAAGTAACTTTAATTCTTCAAATCATAGTGATACAGGAGACGTAAGCATCGCAAACACCATATGCCTAAAAAGCAGACTGAGCCGGGAGTGTGCGGTATATGATACCACTCCCTGCCTCAGAAGCCAACAATTCATCATAAGACCTTGATGAAATCGCCAAAGCCTGCACCAATACAGGTCCGTCAGACTTTACAATCGAAGTAACTGCAGTTCCACTACTACTCCTTTCAATACTTCCATAGGATGAAAAAGGTACCCCTTCAGACTGAAGTACACTTCACAATCATGAACGCCAGGAGCAAAAGCCCTCATGATATGTCCACACAAACGAACTACACTCTTCGCATGAGTTTAACTAGTTATCCGAGCGCCTGAGAGTAAAATTGGCGGTAATCAATATACTTTAGAAAATAGTAGCTGGAAATGAACTCTGACATGGCGCCAAGATGACTCCATACCGAGAGTCAACAGTGAACTGATTCTTTAATTTTCTGTCTTGGTATCTACACTACATCAGATCTAATTGTATTCAGATGAAAAACTGCACGAAAGTCCTAGAAGATACACTGTGCAATGCGAAAATCAGTATACACCAAAACCACACCTTCCTGCTGTACACCCGCGACCTCCCAGTTTCGCAGATATCGCCTTCCATACAACCAACGTTCCTACTATCTAAACCTAGTAGCCCACTGCCCA